GATGAATGCGAGGGCTGGGCCAAAGGGTTCATGGTGAGGAGTTCTCCGAAGCCTGTGATGAAGGTGGCCTCGGCGGCCACACCCACAGTGAGGCTGGGGGAGGTGCCGGGAGAGTGGGAGCTGAGCCTGTCAGCACACTCAAAGGCTCCAGGGCCATCAACCTTGCTCTTTTTTTGGTTTTGTTTTTTTTTCACTGCAGCCAACCAGAGAATCCTGGCAGCATAAGCAGATAGGTTTCTGGCTATCTCTATATTCTCAAGTATTATCTTCAATCACACTTTATTATTCATAGAACACGTCTTTGGCTAGAGTAAGTATTTGGAGCACAGCCAAAGAAGCAGGAAATAAGGCGGGGGGGAGCCTCTGAGTATCCAAAATAGACAGTATGGAGTTTACTTGAGATTGAAATACTTCACTTCTTCAAGAACTCCTTAGGCACCAAGGCAAAGCCTAGTGAAGGGAATCTATGGGGTTGCCTAGATCCTGGGAGACCCAAAATGGCGGGCAAGGTGGCAGCGAATGAAACATGAGAGCAGAAGAAGAGACTGAGAAACTAGAAAGTAGACACATAAGTTGAGAAAGTTTACCTCTTTGGGCATAATTTTAGGGCAAGGACAAACTCTTGACGCAGAAGTGGACTCCAAGATATTGCTGTATTGCAGGATGGGTTCTTTACCACCGTAATGCCTGACTCACCGACAGAAATTCAGTCGTGATCACTAACTCCATTTGAATGTGGAGGGACACATTTTGGGAAGCTCTCATTCCCCAAAGACTAAAGTTGAGAATAAAATGTCAACTCGTAAAGGGGAAGCTTCAGCTAAGCAGAGTTAATTAAATTATTAAGTAATCTGTTCCTCTCCTGGTTTTAGGCTCCAGTCCTGACATTCAGAAGTTGTATAAAATCATAGTTATAAATATCGTTCTGAGTATTTTTAGCTAATGGAGTTTTGTTAGCAGGCTTTCTTTCTGCATTCCATTATCAGTGATTAATTTCTGCTTTGTATTTTGCATAACTGGTTTTTTTTTTGGAGGTTGGGATATTATTTTGGTTTCTTTTGTCTTTGGACATAAAAGTATTTCCTTGATGTATTCATAGGTTAGCATAATGAGGTGATGTGTGTTGATTTATCATGAATGACTAAATGATATAGTATCTTTAGGGAAAAATGCTAATACTTAACAGTAATAGCTAACTTTGGTAGGTGCTTATTTATATTAATCTCTTCATTTTCTGAACATGTACCCATATAAAAACAATGCTTACCTGTGATCTCAAGCTTGGAAAATATGTTAGGCAGGTAGGTGGCAAAATACCTTCTAAGCATGGACAGTTTGATTTAAAATGTGAAGAAAATGAAACATTGATGGCAAAATCAAAATTCCCTAAGGTTTTGTGGATCGTGCTTAAAGAATCTGGTCACAAAGCAAGAGTGATACCCATCGAGGGTCAGTGTAGACCATACTTTAGATTAGCTTTCCAGTGTTAAGCGTGGACTTTAATGTCCTATGCAGACAACAATTTCTGCTGTTTTCCTGAAGGTGGACTCCTTGTATAATAAAAAGATTCCTGTATAATAAAAACAACAATGGAATACCCAGGTCTGCATCCTCCTTTCGCTGTTCATTAGCTCTATAAGCTACCTCCAAATGACCAGAAATTAGTATTATGGATAAAAATGGAGAGGACGATGGTGACATAATAATAAAAACGATAATATTGCCTGCCCTTCCAACTTCACAAGCTTTTTGGGACGATCAGAAAGGATGATACAACTGAAAATGCTTTGTGAACATTATGTGGTGTTATTAAGATAACAATCTTATTTTTATATGGCTTAAATCACTGTAAATGGTGTTCACATGGTTTGGTCGGTGATTATCTTTGGTTGACTCTCTTCTGAATGGATTATTAGAATTTTATCTTCTCGAGGGGTTAGGTTATACCTTTGTAAACTTTGAGGACTGTTTTAATTCAGTTTTGTTGTTTGTCTATCTTTTGCTGGTTCTGGACCCGCATGTGACAGGTCTTGAATTTTTATCAGCCCATAGTATTATGCTAGAATTTTTTCCGAGTCTTTTTGTCTGGCCTTTAATTTTAAACTAGTCATAGGGATGAGCCCTGGATCTTCTTGGTGAGTTCACAGTCTGAGCACGGCCCTGTAAGGGAGATTAAATGACTGACTTTGATTTCAAGACTCGTTTTACTGCAGACAGAAAACAGGCAAGACAGGGGCGCCTGGGGGCCCAGTCGGTTAAGTGTCTGATTCTTGATCTCAGCTCAGGTTTTGATCTCAGGGTCATAAGTTCAAGTTCTGCACTGGGCTCCACGCTGGGTGTGGGGCTTACTTGAAAAAAAAAAAAAAACCAAAAAACAAAAAACAAAAGAAAAAAAAACAGGCAACACCCCTATCACCTCATTTTTGAAGAGTAAATGTAATTCCTGTCCACGGGGGGTGAGAAGCCCATGTCTCATGTGTGGGTGGGCCTCCTGATAGAGAAATGCTTGATTTTAAAGGACGGGAGGAGGCGTAAGGATGGAGCGCCGAGGCTCTGGGATCAGACGTAGTTTTGCTTAGTGTCCCTAAACCAACCATGATACTTCACTTTGTAAACTCCAGTTTTCTCATCTGTAAAATAGAGAGTATAGTAACATGGGCTATGGAAACAATTTTTTGTAAAGTTATAGCTAATATGTAATGATCACTATGATGAATCTACAGTTGACAAAGGACGTGAACACAGATAAACAGGAAGGAAAAGAGAGTGACGTATCCAGGCAGAGCTCTTCTACGTCTTAGAATCAGAGCCCATCCTGCAGAAGCCTGTTTAATTGCTCTACAGTAGAACTGTTCCATTCGCTTGATACTGTATCATCTGCTAGTTCTTTTAGCATTAATTGTACCACCATATCAATAGACCAGAACTGTTAAGATTTGAGTTCTGTGACGTTTTGTTCTCGAGATCTAAGTGTAGTTACCGCATTTCTAAGGGAATATTTTAAACTAGATTCGAGCTTGTTTTGTTGAGCAGAAGAACATCTCTAGAGGGCTACTCTTCTCTTTTCACATCTTGTCAATGTGAAGACCATTTTTGGGAGTCTGGAGGGCATAGATCTGTTTGTAGAAGATTACGAGGGATCTGAGGACTTTTGTCAGGAGTACTATCCAAACTGGCCTACTTTTCCTTTCTGGGAGTTCCACATCTAAGTGCTGATTTTTTAAAAAAAAATATTTATTTATTTATTTGAGAGAGAGAGAGAGCGCCTAAGTGTGGAGCGGAGGGGCAGAGGGAGAGGGAGAGAAAGTCCCAAGCGGACGCAGACTGAGTGTAGAGCTGGATGTAAGCCTCTATCTCACCACCTCGAGGTCATGACCTTGAGATCCAGACCTGAACCGAAACCAAGAGTACCATGCTTAACCAGCTGCACCACCCAGGAGACAGGATTTTTTTTTTTTTTTTTTAAACAGTGCTTTCAAGCCCCTTCTGTCTTCAGACACCTCACTTCAGCTGTCATCCTGCTCAGGGTAAGAGGAAGGGTGCTTCCGTTCTGGTCGGTTTCCAGAACTGTGTGTCATCTAATGAGCCTGTCTAGCCTCGTTGATTGGCAGTCATATGCCTGTGCGAGTGTGAATGTGGGTTTGGTGAGAGTAGAGCAGAGATTGTCATCTGCTGTTGGTGGCCTCCCCATCTCCATGGGGACAGGGAGTGGGGGTAGGAACGTATTTTTTTGGCCCCCAGGTGGGGGCACATAGGTTGAGAAACTCAGGCCTGGGAAGCTTGTTGGTGATGGACTCCTCAGGAAGGCAAGACTGGGGGTTGAGCTGTGGAGGGGAAGCTGTCACCAGTGTCTGGCAGGTCTGTAGGTGCATCTGAAGCTCGAGGCCACATGGATAGTAGAAGGTCTGCCTGAATGTCACGGCCCAACTGTTTGGATTCTCCTTGGCTCAGCAACAACTCCCACATAGACTGTTGATGCAAAAACTTCGGGCTTCATTTCCCCGTAAATCCTGGGGGTTCACATCAGCTCCCTTCCCTCTGGTTTTCTACCCATCAGCTCAGAGCCCTGCCTTCCTGAAAACTGTCTTCACCAGCTGGCTCACGGCAATTCCTGGGAAGAATCTTCAAGACTTTCATGACTCTCGAAACCCATTAATCAACCTAAACAGTTTTCCTAAGTGCCAGTGATACATTTGTCTCCGTCTGGGGACAGAGAGGAAGTGTCTCCCTTTTGAGAACCTGTGCACGAAATAATGTATCAGAATGCACATAATAGAAACACCGTTTCTTACAGAGGTCAAATAATTCTCATTCCAAAGGGACGGGAGGGAATGATCAGACGCGAGCAGTCCTCTGCATTTGCTGGTGGGACCCAGAGCAGGGTGCAGGCAACTCTGTCTTGTGCTGAGGAACGTGAAACGAGGGAGTCTGGGTGCCTGGGCGCTGGCTAGCAGCCCGGGGGGCTCCTTGGGCTTCCAGGGGCGGGCGGGTTAACCCTCTGCAGCAAGGACTGCAGGGGAGAAACCTCGAAAGGAAAGCGCAGGAAATGCTAGCGGGCGCGGGGACAGGGAAGGGGGGCTCCGAGACTGCAGCCAGACCAAAACAGGGTGGGGCCCCGGGGGGGGGGTCCCTGGGGAAAGGCGCCCGCCCGGGTGACCGGGTGGAGGTGGCCTCGCTGGGCGGGGAGGCAGGCCGGCGAGCTGGGGAGGAAGAAGGGGACCGGCGCCTCCCGCCCCCCGGGGCTGCCCGCCAGCAGCCGCAGGGCGAGGCCACTGCGCCCGCTGGCGTCGCTTTCGCTCTCCGGGTCGGCCGGGGTTCGGGCCGGGCTGGGCGGGCCCGGCGGCGCGCGGGGCAGGGCTCCGCTTCCCCACTTTTCCTCCCTCCCTCCCTCCTCCCGGGGCCGTCCTGGCGGCCGAGCCAATGAGCGGCGAGAGGAGGAGGGCAGCGGGAAGCGGAGCGCGCGGGGCCGCGGCCCTCCTACCGCGCCCGCGGCCGCCGCGCAGCGCCAAGTTTGCGCCCCGGGAGTTTGCGCGTGTCGCGGCCGCCGGCCTGGTCGCTCGGTCCCGGCGAGGGGGGCGGACGCGCGTGCCTGGGGCAGCCGCCCGCGAGCGCTCGGGCTGGAGGACGGCGAGCGGGGTGGCGCGGGCCTGGGCCGGGGCAGCCGCCTCCCGAAGATGCAGGATGGCAGCAGAGCCGCCGTCCAGCCTCTCCTACCGCACCACGGGCTCCACCTGCCTGCACCCGCTCAGCGAGCTCCTGGGCATCCCGCTGGACCAGGTAACGGCGTGCGGCCTGGCCGCGGCGGGGGCGCGGGCGGGGGCGCAGGGACCCTCCTCCCGAGCCACTGCGGGCGTGCGGGCTGGGGGGACATTTTAGCCCCAGCGCGCCCCTCACCCCAAGCAGACTTTATAGCTACACACACTCGACAGGTGGCCTTTTTTCTGACGTGATGTTTTTGTCTTGTAAACGAGAAAAAAAAATTAGTATACCTCGCAAGACAGGTTCAAATGAACTTTTTTTTTTTTTTCTCCTTTTGAGGTTTTGGGTTGGCTCGTTTCCTGTAACCAAGTTCTAAATGTGATAAATGAATCAAGTGTTTTTTTTTTCCATCAGTGTCGTGAAGTCCTTATTATTTTTAATTTAGATATCTCTCCTTAAAAGATAAGCTTGATTAGTCTGTAAGCTCTTGTTTGGCCTTTTGGAACAGAGATTTTAGACTTTGGCGGTGAAACTTTTCAGATCTGGGGGGTGACAGTTACGTTGTACCATGTGCGGTGTCCATCGGAAAGGGAAGAGTTGCGCAAGGACAGTGGTTTTCCGAGGGGCTTTCCTCGACTCATGGGGCTTATCCTTGAGGTCCCAGGCTCCTGAGTGAGTTCGGTTAGTGGGAGAAGAGAGGCACGTGGAAGTTGGTTGGACTGTCCAGGAATTGTCTGCTACTATTAGAATAGAAAACAGCAGTAATTCCTGGTAAGAAAGCTGCCTGAGGGTTGAGGCTGTCTTACTCATTTTCTTGTCTCTTTAGGTGCTGGAAGTATTTCATAATGAGTCAGTAAACACACGTTAATTTAAATGGAATGGGGGATGGGGTGGGCGGGCTGGACCACTGCCTTCTTACTCGGTTTCATACTGAGTTTTGCTTTGGGTTTCTCCCTTTGCTTTTTACTAGTGACTTTTTTTTTTTTCTTTCTTTTCCAAATGGGAGTATACCCTCCCGCTGCCCTCTCCACTCACCATTCCTTCTGCAAGGAGGAAGTGAGAGCTGGCTGTTTGCCTCAGTCAGATGCTGTTTACTGAGCCACTCTTCTACCTGGCTCACTCCAAGGATGCATGGGGAACTCCACCTCTCCCCAGCCGTTTGCCTGCCCCTCAGTTGCAAAATCCAGAAAGCTAACAAATTGGGAGAGGTATCAGATGCTAGCTGGTGCTTCTGTAAATTACTCTTCAATTTGTAGTGAGAAAGGGAGAGACCCAGGGACCTGGGGAAAAGCAGAGAGATACTAGCAAATTCTTTTTCTCTGAAACTACCCTAACTTCCAGCTGAATTCCCTTAAGGGGAGTGTGTTTTGTACTTAACCCCTCCAGCCCCATCCCCACCCCCCATCAGAATTTATTTTAATTGCATTTTCTGTTTTAAGCTGTTTGGCACTGCTAGAGAGAGGAATCTAGGGAGGCTTTTTGTCTGGAAAGGAGTAGTTGGGGGACCCCGACAAGCCTGGGAGGTGCCCTTAAGTGCTTTTAAACTGCATCTACCCCCTTCCCAGGTTCCTGGATTTCTGTCAAAGGAACCCTGTTTTTAATTTATAAGAAAAAGAATAAAAGAGCCTTAAGGATGTTCAAGGCTGGGAGAAAGGAATTTCTGGGAGAAACTGAAGGAGAAATGTGGGTGATCCGCAGGAAGGAGCCGGGCGATCTCTTTGATCTTCCCATGGCCCCAGCAGCCTCCAGCAGGCTCCGGTCCGAGTGACTCTTGGTGGAGAGAAGCACGTATAGGGCAATGCCCCACATCGCTCATTTAAGGCCTGGGGAAAAATCCCAAACCATAAATAATGTGGTTTGAGGCTAAATTGTGGCTTGGGAATTTGGAAGCTTGAAGTGTTTTTCTCCCTCACGCTTTCAAGGGCTTTTTAAGGTCTTCGATTTCTTAGACCTGCTCTGCCAGTAAACTTCTGTTGTGACTGCCTGCTGGTGTTGGACCTCTCGGAGCCCCACTGTCCTCAGGGCTAAAATCAGATCTACATATTGGAGGTGGGAAATTTTATGTAGATATAAAATACTCTACATTGAAAGGTCCTTCATTCAGACAGGGTCCCAGCGGGCAGCAGAATTTAACTCAACGGTTTGCAATGAAGAAACTTACCTGAGCTACTTAGAGGGACATGGGCAGCATTCAGGGGCGGTTCCAGTACCTAAACCTGGAGACAAAGGGGAAAGGGAGGGTATCCCGTGGCCATTGCCCTGTGAGAGCCGCGTCGAGCCCTTGCTGGGATGCCAGTGGGAAGCAGAGCGAAAACCACAGCCCTACTCTTTATCCCACTGCCCTTACGTTTCTTGCCTGTTACCCACAGTGGTCAGACTCAGCCCAGGGGTTGCTGGCCGGGGGTGCCTGGGTAATGCGGTCTACAGGCGCTCCACCTCTGGCCCAGAACTTGGAATAGAAAGGTAGAGCCAGATCTGGAGGACAGTCCAAGGACAATAGCACAGTCCTTAATAAATGTTTGCTTCTGTCCCATTGAAGAGTGACTTGTTATTGGCCAGCAATATGCTAAAAAGGATAAAACACGTACTTCTGGGTACTTAGTAGCTCTTCATATGTCACTGGAAGACACTGAATCTTGTCCCCCCATCTTAACATTTCATGCTCATACTCGTAATTTCTGAATTGAAGGCGCTATCGAGAATGTCTTTGGCTTCTGGGTGTCTCCAAGTGGGGTAGCTCATTATTTTAAATGTCTGCTGAGCCTTCCACATGACTGAAGAACTCTTTTCTTATTTTTCATTTGCTCCCTCCGTTTGTCTGTTCTGTGAGCTCCTGGGGAAAGCTTGTGTGGGATTGTGAGGAAGAGTCTATAGTTTTAGTTTCCACGGACTTCACTGGTCTGACATCCTCCTGAAGATGTTACATGTAAAGTCTCCTCTTTAATTAGAAACGAGTAGAACACAGAATCCAGATGCAGAGGGTAGGAAATGAATGATGGCATAGAAGCCCCCGCTGGTACTGCACAGATGAGTGTGTTGGAAGTTGCATTTCCAAAACCACCGGTCTCTGTCTCTCTAGCAAGTGTGGCACTCTGGTAACTGGTAGGAGTATTCAGAGAGAAAGCTTCACTTACCAGGATAAATTAGATAAGAACTTTTTCTTTCCCTTTTAGAATGACTTGGGGAGTAAAGGATAAGTGTTTTGCCTTATTTTTCAAGTCATCTGCTTGTGCCCTCTCGACTTGCTTGAGGAGCGTGTCATGATGTGCCTTTAACTAACCATAGCTTTCAAAATTTGCAAGACTGATTTAGCCACAGTGATGGATGGATGTTGTTGACCTTGTTAATTTGTGAGGTGTGTGGTCATATCCTAGGAGTTGTGAAAGCCGAGGAAGAAACCGTTTGCTGGCTTAAGGATTTTCCAGTTAAAATGGGAGGGGGGCGGGGAGCTCTGGATGTCAAGGCTATTTGGACGCACAGGTACCCCAGACTTTTGTGTTCTTGCATGAAGTGTCAAATTCAATTCATTGTTGAATTAGGATTCCTTAGGAAAAAATAGCCAGGACATAAGAACTCAGGAGATGATTCTGAGATTAAAGGAGCAAAAGTTTAGGGACACCTGGGTGGCTCAGTTGGTTAAGCGTCTGCCTTCAGCTCTGGTCGTGATCCCAGGGATCCTGGGATCGAGTCCTGCTTCAGGCTCCTTGCTCAACGGGAGCCTGCTTCTCCCTCTCCCTCTGCTGCTCCCCCTGCTCGTGCTCTCTCTCCTTCTCTCCCAAATAAATACATAAAATCTTTACCAACCAACCAACAAACAAAAAAAACCCAGCAAAGTTTTAGGACAATTAATGTAACTTGTGTTACACTTTAAAAGGCTCAATGAACGATGACCTGCTCTAAAGACCTGGCATTTCTTTACTAATGGTGAGACCAGTAGTGAGTTTTGATGATTCCACTGGGGCCTTTGACCACAAGGTTTCTTGCCTGGCCTGGAGCTTTTAGTCACCGGTTGGTTCCTTGTCCATTCTTGGAAAGCCCAAACATCATGTCTCTTCTCACCTAAATCTTGCCCTAGGTTCAAAGTTCAGCTCACATTCCACACTCATTATTCAGTCAATTAAATATTTATCAAATACTCTTAGTGCCAGGTCCCTGGCCAGGTGGTAGAAATATGAGGATGAAAAAATCCAGGTCCCCGTGCCGGAAAAGCTTCTCTACCAATAGAGGAGACAAAGGACCTGTGTAAGTCACAAGGGCTTCGTACTCAGGAGCTCCTGCCGGAGGTGACAGAGGTTGGTAGATGGTGCCTGGTGGAACCCAGAAGGGAAAGCCAGCTGCAGGACATGCCGGATTCCTGTCAAATTTACTCTTTACCTCTGACACACTCCACATTTGACCCTCAGTAAGCATTACCTTCTATTGTGACCCAGCGTGCTGTGTGTATATGCTGAATTTCCAACTCATTTAAAGACTCCTGGAGATAGAGATTTTATCCCTTCTTGTGTTCCAAGGAAGTAGTAGGTACTCAGTGAATATGTGCCATTGGTAACAGATGTGCCGGTGATAATGATTTGCCTTATCAAACTTCAGCACGTGGAAGCTTTTTTTTTTAATAGTTTTATTTTATTTTTTTTTAAAAGATTTTATTTATTTATTTGACAGACAGAGATCACAAGTAGGCAGAGAGGCAGGCAGAGAGAGAGAGGGGAGGAAGCAGGCTCCCCGCTAAGCAGAGAGCCCGATGTGTGGGGCTCGATCCCAGGACCCTGGGATCATGACTTGAGCCGAAGGCAGAGGCTTTAACCCACTGAGCCACCCAGGTGCCCCTGGAAGCTTGTTTTTAAAGCAGACAGCAGATTGGCCTTTGTAGGGGGAAGAGTCCTTTGCCTACCCCACTCCTCCGTGGACGCTGCCTCCAGGTTGTACCCTTGGGTTTCTGACTTGAGCAATCTTCTCCTCACCTTGGGGCTTTCCAGTCCATCCCAGCTCAGGATGGGTGTGGACATATGGCAGGCCATAGACCATCAGCCCTGCAGAAAGCTACTTCAGTTTTCTTTGGGCCTCAGTAGTTCCTGCAA